AAAACCTTGGAGGAGTGTAGCTTTGTGCGAAGCACTCGGAGAAGTGTCGGTGGACACTTATTCACTATTGTATCTGGGTGATCGAAGAATAGTGAATTTCCTCCTTGAAGTGAAAGGAGAAGAGTGGACTAGGAGGATTACACCACCTCTGAACCACTATAAATCTCTCTCTCTCTCTCTCTATTTACTTACTGCTCATACATTTCATGCATGCTTATTCTAACTGCGAACTAACCCAATTACGATTTATCGCATATCTTTATCTGTCTGGGTTTGATAGTTTCCACGTTTGCATGCAAGCCAAACTTTACGTACAACATCCTTGAACCATGTCAAGTGTTTCTAACGTGTTGCGTGTTTAGAATCTCTCTTTGAGCACCGCACTAATTAAGCATAACACTTTACCGCTACTTATTCCGCTGCACACTCTAAGTTGTTTATCTTGTTAATGCTTGTTACTTAGAGTTGAATTTACCAAAGTGTTATTTGCCCTATGTGTTTTTGAAGAAAGTTTAAAAAGTTAGAGAAGTCTATTCACCCCCCCTCTAGACTTCTCGCCACCCTTTCGGGACCAACAAAATGTTATCTCAACTTTTCCTTAGGTGAGATATAAAAAGTCTAATCTCGCCTATGGGAAAGACAGTTTCCCTCTTTCGTAACCCATGCAACGCATTTCCCAATCGTTATACCCTACACCACGGCGCGCGTAACACTGTGCGCCGCTCGCCTCCCAAAACGACGTCGTTTTGGGAGGCGCGGTAGGAAGTTGTTGTGATTATGTATATTTGTTCATATAATTATGTATATTTGTTCATACAATTATGTATATTTGTTCATACAATTATGTACATTTTTTATACAATTATGTACACTCTTTTTATACAATTATGTACATCCGAATCAGGAAATTTTTGTGTATTATGTTTAGAGTTGATGTGTATTATGTTAAAAGTTTATGTTTATTGTGTATTATGTTAGATTATGTGTATTATCTTTTAAAGAACAGTATGTATATTTTGTTATACATTTATGTACATTCATGTATACAATTATGTACATTCATGTATAACATTATGTACATTTTTGAACATCGGTTTTTTTTTAAAGAAAAATTAACTGCCAAACAGTGGGGCGGGAAATTTCAAAAAAAAAAAAAAAAATTAAAACGACGTCGTTTTGCATCTGGACGCATAATGCAACGCGCGCCGTGGTGTAGGATACTTGTCAGGGATCCCATGTTTATAACCCTCCTCACCGGCAAAATAATTTATTATATCTTGTTATATCTACTATACTAATAAGAGCCCAAGAGAGTTAGGCCTATAATGAGTAGAAAAAATGGCAGTCAAATTTTTTAATCAAATGAATGGCTCAGATTGATCAGATTTAAATTTTTACTTAATATTTCCTAATTTATCCTTAATGAATATGATTATCCATTAAGTTTTCCGTTAAATATTATCTTTTCCGTTAATTTCTGTTAGTTCACCGTTAATTTACTCATTGATTTCAATAAGAAAGAGCCCAAGAGAGTTAGGCCTATAATGGGTAGAAAAAATGGCGGTCAAATTTTTTAATCAAATGAATGGCTCAAATTGATCAGATTTAAATTTTTACTTAATATTTCCTAATTTATCCTTAATGAATATGATTATCCGTTAAGTTTTCCGTTAAATATTATCTTTTCCGTTAATTTCTGTTAGTTCACCGTTAATTTACTCATTGATTTCAATAAGAAATGTCTTAAGTTCGAATCTCATCCCAATCAAAGTTGGCATAATTAGTACTATATTTTACTCTTATTAAATTAAATAATAATTTAGTAGCTACAACAAAAAATAATACGCATTTCTTTAATCTAGAATTATGTGTCTACTACAATGTCTTTATTAAAAAAAAAAAATTATTCATTATCAATAAATTAAATAAGAGAAATATTTCATTAGTTATATTGTCTTTATTTTTCTCCAATATAAAAATTATTTACATTCAAATTCATCAATTGATTATATTCGCTACATTATCTTTATTAAAAAAAAATTATTCATTATCAATAAATTAATTAAGAGAAATAATTTTATTAGTTATATTGTCTTTATATTTCTCCAATGTAAAAATACTTTACATTCAAATTCATCAATTGACCAGGACTATGTGGTCTAATGGTACCCGGGTTGGACTTCCATTTGGAAGATTATGAGTTCGAGCCTCAGTGGAGGCGTTATTGGTTCTTTGTGTTTCAGTAGGTTGAGAAAGTATATGAACAGATACTACAATGTAATAGAACCAGTAACTTTCAAAAAAAAAAAAAAAAAAAAATTAATCAATTGATTATATTCACTACATTGTCTATTATCTTTTTTGTGCACTATTTTTTAATTAAATATCAAAGTTATAATACAAAATAATGCTATATTTTTTTTTTCCAAGTATTTTATTAACACCATGAAAAAAAATATTAATAAAGCCAATCATATTAACTACGGGATTTGTTGACAAAGAGAGTATACAAATCACACAACAAATTGAAGTGAGAAATGCCTCGCAATGTCCTTGTTTGACAATCAGCAGTTAGCGGTTAGCGTTAGCGAATTTGACCAGCGAATTATATTAACGGTTGGTAAAAAGATATTTGAAAAAATTAGCTATTTAGATTAACATGTAAAATGACCTAAGGGTATACATATAATAATAATAATAATAATAATAATAATAATAATAATAATAATAATAATAATAATAATAATAATAATAATAATAATAATAATAATATTAATATTAATAATATTAATAATAATAATAATAATAATAATAATAATAATAATAATTGTTTTAAAAAATAATAATAAAAATAAAAAAATATATAATTAAGCCAATTATATTAACTACTTGTGAATTTATTGACAAACAGAGTATTCAAATCACACAACAAATTGAAGTGGGAAACTACCTCGCAATGTCTTTGACAATCAGTAGTTAAGGGTTAGCGTTAGCGGATTATATTAACGAATTTGGCCAGCGAATTATATCAACGGTGGGTAAAAAACTAAAAATATATTAAAAAAAAAAAGTTGTTTAGATTAACATGTAAAAGAGTAAATTTCAATTTTGGTCCTGCGATTATAGGGGTTCTATTAATTGCAGTCCACGACTTTCAAAAGTATTAATTGAGTACCTTGATTATGTAATTTTTATCAATTTTGGTCACTCCGACCAAATTTTCATTCAAAACTCGCCAAAAAATTTTAATAGTTAAAATAATGAGGGTATTTTAGTCTTTTTATATTTTTTTATTTCTTCCCGATTTTTCATCTACTGCAAATTCGCCGGAGAAAGCTGCAGTCAACTTTGTATACAGGATGTGTGATGTATGCTAAACAATATATAATGATGATGAGAAACTACAAACAAAAAGGGAAGAACAAATGAAGATTCTGAAGTATTTTGTATCTACAACAATTATAGGTTTTTGGAAAATTAAAGAATGAAAGCTATCCAGGTGTGCCCACATCCAATTTTTACAGCTTAATTACCACCTGGAGGCAGCGGCTGAGCTGTCTTTCTCCGGTGGATCTCGCACAGCAAGTGCTTCTCCCCTCTCTTGAAGAATTCGTTAGCGAACTCCCATCTATCAGTCACTATCTTCCTAAAACCTAATCGCCGAAAAATAATAAAACTCATAAAAATTACATCTTCAACGTGTACCCAAGAAAGGGAAAAACTAACGCACAAATACAGTTGAAAGGCTACTTGCGTAAGTGTTGAGCTGGCGGACGGAGGAGAAGTTGTTGTGCTTGAAATAGTTGGGGATCGTAGGAGGTCAAGTGCGAACTCCGGCGGCCGCCAGATGACGAAACTAGCGACGGATGGAAAAAAAATGGTAAAAAGACTAAAATATCCTTATTATTTTAACTATTAAAATTTTTTGTCAAGTTTTGGTCGGCAATTTAGTCAGAGTGACCAAAATTGATAAAAAATTACATAGTCAAGGTACTAAATTAACACTTTTAAAAGTCGTGGACTGCAATTAACAGAACTCCTATAGTCATAGGACCAAAATTGAAATTTTCTCACATGTAAAATGACTTGAGGGAACCCAACAGGGTAGCTCAAGTGGCAAATGAGCTCTCTTTGTGGGGGAGAATTCTAGGATAACCTGGGTTCGATTCCCACAATTGACGATCCCCTTTGGTCCAGCTTCTGTGCCTCTCGGAGCGAAGCGAACCGGGTGGACCTTTACCGTTAAATAGACAGAGAAAGATCCGAACCACAATGTGTGGTTGCCACTAAAAAAAAATGACTTGATGGTATACATATATTTAATAATAATTGTTTTAAAAAATAAAAAAATATAATTAAATCAATCATATTAACTACTTGGGGATTTATAGACAAAAAGAGTATTCAAAACACACAACAAATTGAAGTGGGAAACTATCTCGCAATGTCCTTGTTTGGCAATCCGCAGTTAGCTCTTCAATATTAGTATATATTTAATATTTTATGCCTTAATTTTTATTTGATCTCCTTTATGTCCCGTATTTGGTTTCAACCACACATATACAATTATTTTATTGACAATTATAATCAATCTTGACTATATTATCTTGCATTTGTAAACTTAGAATTGCCTATTTAAATACACAAATTTAACATTCAATTATCTATGCATGAACAATTCAAATATAATGTTGCATTGATATACTTTAAAGTACTTATTTAAAAAAAAAAAATATTATGCATTATAGCGCGTAAAATACTAGTGTGATAGAATAAAAGTGAGAAGTAAAGATTAGGAGCCTGTAGAGTGTAGAGATTACAAAATATTACAGGTGCCTTAAGAGCGCGTGACTGAATGAGCAAGCAGTCGTAGCAGTGGGCGTACGAAGTTCCGTCGGGTACGTGGACGGCAGGGGCGAACCAGTGCGCACCTCCACTCCACGTGTCACTTTTCCCGGACTCCAATTCCTCCATTCTAATTCGCTTCTGCGCACCGCATCACGTCCGCCCCACTCTTTTGCAGCAACCTTGTACTCCATCATCGCACTACAAAAACAAATTATTAAAATCCTAACAACAATAATACTCTGCTTCCCTCTACATTCTCCCAGAAACCCAAGCCCCAAGTTTCGGAAAATGTGAAAATCATTTCTCCTCTTTCCTCTTCTCACATTTGGGACTTCCTCGATCGTCTTGTAAGTTTCACAATTCACAGTGTTTTTGTTTGCATGAAACTATGTGTATGTAAATGCAGAGATTTTATTTTTTCTGTTTTGTTATTGGTGTTCTTGTTCTTTCTTAGTTTTCTCTAGAATGGATTCGTGATCAGCCTATGTATTCTGTTGTTGTTGTTGCTGCTTGCATGGTGTGAGAATTGAGACTCAGAACTTTTATGCTTTAATATTATATTCTGAACTGTCCTGTACTCTGTTACTAGACATGATGTACTGGTGATATATGATGAATTCTTGGCATCTGCACTGGTTTTTGAGATATGGGTTGAAACTACTAAGGTTTAGATCAATGCTTCATGTGTTCCATGGAACCTAACCATTATGGGAGTAGTAATTTATGAGGGGAAAAAGAATGATAGAAGCCACACGGTTTACTGTTTGAATTCTAGCTGTAATTAAGCTGATGTTAGGGATCCAATAGCTCACTGATTCTCTTGGGTGTGACGAGGAAAACCCAGAGTTACTACTCAATAGTGTGTACTAGTCTTGTGACCTTAACCCATAAATGATAACAAGGAAATAAACCAACTTAGATGATCGGTTATAGGTCACTCTTATTCAGAGATGAACTTGTAAAATCTTAACTGTAAAGGAAGGATCATAAGGAGATAAACAGTCTAAATTGCTCATTGACCAGCTATAGGCCACTCCCATTGGGAATCAAACTAGTAACTTTGTCGTTACCAAGTCAATAGCTTGACCAACTTTGTAACTATCTGTGATGTCCCTTTATGTCGATCACTTGTTCAGTAGGTAGTATTTGGATGAACAGACCAAGGTTCAAACCTTGGCAACGGGGGATTATGTTCAAAGTGGGCAGATCCCTTGTGCGCACCGGCATTTGGCTCTGTCGGCTGAGCCATTGAGTCACGTGATTTACATCCTCCCAAATGTTCTATCGGGCCGGGGTTGTGGGGGCCCTTGGGTTGGGGATTCAACCTTTTGGGAGAAGGATAAGATCAAATATGAGTAATTATGTCTGTTTGCATTCCTCTGGTATTGGAGTTAATGCTACTTTAGTTTTAATTTTTGTGCTTGCAGTTCCAAAATAAAATGTTGGACAATTTTGGGGAGATGTGCAAAACAGAGCATCTCTTTGATTCATCGGAACACAATCTGAAACCATTAAGTGAAAATGCTAAAGTTCTTATAGAGGAATCTGCTCCCCCGGTACTCTAGTTCAAGAAACTCTTTTTTCACTCTATTTTGTTTCGAACTTTCAACCTCTTCTTGAACCTCCTAACATTTAGCCGTATGTTATAGGACTGTTAAATTATCCTGGAAATATAAAGCTTATAATATGCCTTGTTTCAACCTTCATATAGTTCAACCAACGCTTTTATTTTACGTTTTCTCTAGTTTGGGGAGGTTGGATCGGTCTTCTCAGAATCGGAAGAGGAAGGTATGTGGCTGCAACTTCTACTAGAAGAACCAAAATATAGTAACATTTTGGATACAGTCTTGGATATAAATGCTTCCAATGCTCAGAAGAACTTCTATGTCAATGAATATCTTGATTCCACCTATCACAAAGCAGATGATGGTAAAAATCTTTCCTATATTGAGATATATATGAGTTTAACAAGTACTTAATTAGCACATTGGGTGAATTCTATATCTATATATTCCTTTGAACTTTTTATCTAATTTTGTATCATTTATGGAGAATGGAGATAATGGTTTTTATGGTTTCACCCAGGGGTACTGAATTCAAGTTTTACTGAAGGTAATAAAACAGTAGAACAGGTATGCTCCTTTATAAGATTGGAATATGACCTATACGAAAATGCTTTGAATTTTCACCGAGAATCACACTTCACTTTGATTTGGCATGCGTTTTTCTAGAACTGATCTAAGATGTTGTATTTAAAGGTGAATACTCAAGCAGAAAGTATATTTAATATGTTTTTGCCACTCCTCCAACAAGTATCATACTCGTACTAAAAGAATTTTCTACACCTCCCTCCCCATTAAACATGAATTTTCAAAATGCACTGTAATTCTTTCACCTCTTAATTTGTTTTTCTCTGACAGAAACAAAATTTTATACTCATCGAGTCTCTTAATGCTGTCACAATCTTTATTTATTTGTGATTTTATCCCCTCGGTGCTTCTTAAGTATTATTTGTAGAAATTGAAGAGACCACTAAATTTGCAGTTTGTAGATGGAGTCTCAGAAGAAAACTTTAACATGGTGGCTTGTGAAGAAAATAGTGACTTGGATGCATGTAAAGACTACCTGTTGGGTAAGCATGCAGAAGATTTTTTCTTTTTCTTTTTCTTTTCTTCTCCCCATATTTTGCCTCTCCTGAATTTGTATCGATTGTTTACTGAATCTAAGTTGTTCCTATTTCCCCGTTGTTAGATGTTATGTTTGATGAGAGGCTCCATTCTGTTCTGAACAAGGAAATTTATACAAAGTTTGATAAGCAGAAGTTGTCTAGCACTCGAGAAATCGAGAATTCGAAAAAAACGAGGACATGGCTTCTCCCAAATTTTGATCTTCCAGGTGATAATTCCCACATTGGTCAGAATATGAAGATTCAGCTGCAAATCACTAGTGCTCAAAGATCTGCCACTAGAGTTTTCAAATCCAGCCTGGAATTATCTTCTTCCCAGAATAACTTGCGGGTTGATGAAATGTCAAGTGATAAACTGCGCAAAAAGTTATTCGGTCATCAAACTATTATTACTGACGAGCATTGGCTGAGGCACCATATTTCACTTGGCTTGCAGAAGAGCGATAAGTGGAAGAAGAATTCGAGTCTCAAGGAATTTTCTATCCCGAATGAAAATAAAAGAGTTGAAGTCTCATCTGCAACCGAGGATCTCCTTAAAGCACCTACTCCCTTTTCTGGTGTATTCAGTTTTAAAAGAAAGCAAAGGGTTCAACGTGTGAAGAAGAAGAAAGGAAACAGCGCCTTTTGTGAATCCTTGAAAAACTTTTTCTCTGAATGTGGTCGGAAGAAACCTGAAATTCGCAAAAAGCACACAAAAGATAACGTTCTACATGACAGAGAAGGATCCAACGAGCATTTTCGAGCTTGCACTGAAGTTCCTCGTGAGGATACGATAACCAGGAATGAGGTTAGTGATAGATGCCAAAAATAACAACTTTCCACTTACATTTCTCTTCCCTGTTTTGATGTCAAAAGATAAGAATGCATGTTAGTTCAATCTTGACAGTTGCGTTTGATGTTTTCACTTCAGGGACATGATCATAGCAGTAAAAGGCACGAGGATAATTGCGATTCTCTAGTGGAGTCAGTGGAAGAAGATGATGATGATGATACATATACGGGGGAGTCGGAAGATGATACATCTGAGAATGAATGGAAGACTGAAAAGATCCAGCACCATAGAAAGAACCACTTCTGGTCTCTAACCGAGGTCACAAATCTGGTTCAAGGTGTTTCCAAGTATGGCGTTGGAAGATGGATTCAGATCAAGAGGTTATTTTTCCGCTCATCACCCCATCGAACTCCCGCAGATCTTAAGGTAGGTATAATTTGGTAATAATCATTAATTTCACGCATTAAACAATAATACTTCCTTGCTTCTGTAAGGACAAATGGAGAAATCTTTTGAGTGCAAGCTGTGGAAGGTCACAGAAGAGAAGGGTATGTTCTCTCTATTACTTGCATGTTTTACAGAATGAACCCGTCTAAATTTATGATGCATCTATAGTATATACTATATAGTGCCAATATTAACCCCACCACAAGCATCGTGCAGAATCCATCTATTCCTGCTCTAATTTCTGATACCTTAACAGCTGAGGCCGAGACAAAATGGAATACCACACTCAATACCTCAGCATATTCTACACTGGGTTCGTGATTTGGCCGCCACTCATCCATATCCAAGAAAAAAAAAAAAGTCAGGCAAACCGCCGCCCCTTCCATCCGGGCTTCAAATACTGCCCCAAGAACGTAACTCTCTGCTATAAGCCTGTAAGTAGTGTAGAGATGGCAATGGGGTGTGTCCCCAGTTTAACACCAGCTATTGCTTGTTCTTATGGATATTGGTATTTGGTAGTTAGAATGCTGACATTTTTGGAACTAAACCATTAATATCCACTACCAAAACATACTTCACCTGTTCATCTTACATAGTACATGTACATGTGTGTGCGCTAAAAACGTCCAACTGTTTATCAGTTGTGATTCTCCAAATTACTACCTATTAGGAGAATCGGTTCGACATTTATATAGTAAATGGTTTAATACATCTCTACCCGAAGCATAAATAATATCTCGGTGTTGTGGAGTTGAAAATTATATTTATGTTTGATAGGAAGTTTATGATTTGATTGATCAAGAATGTTTTAGAGAAATTGTTTCAAGTGGGATTGTTTTTTTTTTTTTTAATAGAAGAGAGGTTACTTAGAGTTGTTTTAGATAAGTTAGGTTTACTTCTCTTGGGTTTTTCTTCTTTTGAGTTTTATTTTTCGGAAGTTGACTTTTTAGGAGATTACTTTTCGGAATCGGATGATTTCTCATATTCTCAAAAGTTGTAATTATTATATTTATTATTTAATAATATCAATAAATTTTTAATTAGTTACACAATAATTTAAATATTAAATTTAAATAGTTGTTATCATTATGAATATATTAATAGTGGGAGTTACAAAAACTCTCAGTTAATTCTCTTCATTAATTTAATATTTATGAAAATTGAAGAGAGAATGTCTTATGAGGGATATAAAAAGAGGATCCCATCAAGTTGTCAAGCAATCAAGATATAAGTTTTGTGTATTTACTAAGTAACTGCAGTATTTATAAGAGAGTGATTTTTGAAACGAAAATCTCAAGTTATATCGTCGGTAAATTTTTTAGAAAGATAACATTGTCCCTTGTTAAGGGAAAGTTAGAAAGATAACATTGTCCCTTGTTAAGGGAAATTAAAAACTTTTAAGATAGCTCGCACTGAAAATTATGGTCAAACTTTCTCTTATTTTTTGGTTTTTAGGTTCCTTGTACAAGACCATATTGTTCTATTTTTCTAACAAAATCAAGATGACAAATTATATCGTGCACCGTGGTGCATAATCGATTATGCACCGCGCGTCAGACATTACAGTGTGTCTAAATCGATACTGTCAAAACGACTTCGTTTTATTTATGAAAAGAAACAGAATCTTCGCAAAAAATAACTCTATTCTTCAGTTTCATTTTGTATACACTGCAGTTTCAGTTCAACACAACTACAATTTCATTTCGATATAACTACAGTTTCATTCAATATTTATATACTCAAATATGTGAAAATGTTATTTAATTTTATTTTATATAAACTATAATTTCATTAAAACGCAACTACATGATCATTTGAATATAATTACAACTTAATTGTACAATATACACTCAAATATGTGAAATGTTATTCAGTTTCATTTTGTATATACTGTAGTTTCATTTCACTACAACTACAACAGATATAACTGTAGTTTCATTTAATAATATAAAAATAATACGTGAGTCAATGTTAGTTTAGACACACTGTAGTGTTTGACACGCGGTGCACGATACAACGACCCAATCAAGATTGGAGTTGAAAATTTGCAATTTAAAGTCACAGTTATTAGATTACAAAATATTTGGCATTCATTTCATGCTTCTTACTTCTTAGGCCCACAATGTCTTGAAATACCAAGATTGGCCCAACTTCCAAACACCAACACATCAAATAATGTTTGTGTTGGGATTCTACGAAATTTATTCAGTTTGTCGTTGTGTCAATTTATTTATTAATTAGTATAGGTAGGTATTGATTGGTTCATCAATCAATTTATACGACAACTTATTATGAAACATTTTTTGGAGGTTAGATATATAGTAAGTACGATCAATACCAACGCCATGCAAATGGGTACAATCAGATATAAATGGGTGTTTGTTCTCCGATCCATACAATATGGCACCAATGTTTTTATTATGGTACGGTATTCAACAACCAACTTGTTTAATTTGTAATGCAATAAGAGTATAAGACACCAATGTTTTGTTGGCATAAGTACGTATAAATTAGTATCAATGCCAACTGGTACAACTAGTTATATTTGCATGCGTTTTTGTATCTATCTAATACAAATCGGCACTCGATTGATTTGTTATAAAATTCTTTCACAATATATATTTTCTGGTTTTTTTTTTCCATATTATATTTGAGGGGCTGGTATTTGCTGATAGTGATGGATGGGCACAGAGCATATATGGGAAGCATGTAGATACTCATGCGTGGGTAGTGCATGCAATGCTGAGGATACAATATTAGATACGGAGTAATTATTATTCTTCTACAAAGTGCCCCATCATGATTTTAAGATATGCCCGCAAAATAATATATATATATATATACACACACACACACATCCATTTCCTTTAACTAAATACTTCATCTAATCATCTACTGTTTCAAAAAAAAAAAAAAAAAAAAAAAAAAAAAAAAAAAAAAAAAAAAACTTCATCTATTCAATTTTATTTATTTGAGTTTACTTATAAAAAAAATTAACCAATATAATTTTAATTAAAATGAAGGGCTTTGCTTCGTCTCTCTCTTCGTCTCCATCCAGAGCGAAGGAGGGGGGTAGGGGGTGGTCGGCGGTCACCTCAGCGGGTTTATTTTTATTTTTATTATTTAAAAAGCTTTTATTAAAAATTACTCCCTCGGTATCTGACGTATTTATTATTCATAGGTCAAGTCAACTTTTTTTTTCTTTGTTTTATTTCATTAGCATTTTCTTATAATTTTTAAATTTGATTTTTTGTTTTTAATTGTACTTTTAATATAGTTTCTAAATATATAAATTTTACATACTAATTCTAAACTTAATATTCTAAACTTAAATTTTACATACTAATTCTAAATATATAAATTTTACATACTATGTAAATAAGTTTAGTTAAGCCTCGTTGACCGAACCCAATATATAAAATGAGACGGAAAGGATTTTTAATTTAAAAAATGTCAACTCACCATCCACGTAAGCAGACAACAAAAAAAAAACCAGTATAACTTGCTATACAGTAAAATTACATATATTTGGGATGTTCAATGACCTAATTGTATTATTCATTTAATTCTACTCCTTAGGGCATCCTCAATAGTGGGGTTTTGGTGTAGTTTTTGTAAGTATGATTATGAAAGAGAAAATGAGATGAAGGGAAAAAAAATCAAATTTAAAAAAAAAAAAAAAAAAACAAACAATTTATGCGCCCGCCTGAGCGCGAGAGTTGCGCCTAAGCGCGTGAGGCGCACCTCTTTCTTCCCACCGTGGGACCCACTACAAAACCTTGGGTGCTTGCAAGACACATTCACTCGTTCCCTCTCCTCCCCTCTCTATCTTCCAACAAAGCAATTCTACGTAAAAACATGTGCAAAATCCCTTTCATCATGTAAGTCCACAAAAAGTGTTTACATCAAAAACTTTTAAAAGAGAGTAAAAATTTGGAAATATAAAATAAGAGTAAATCAAGTATTTTCTTTTTGAAAAGGAAAAAAGTGTCAAGATTGTCCCCCAAGTGGATAGTGCAATTGGGTCTCATAAGTAAAAATAAAAAATTAAAAAAAAAATAATGAGCTTCATTCAAGTCTCCTAAACTAGTAAAATTGTTCAATTGAGTCCAAATTGACTTGTTTAACAGGTTAAATCTATGTGGTGTTGACATGTGTCATTTTTATTTTATTTTTTTTAAAAAAAATAAATGTTTTTTATTTATTAAAAATTAAAAATATTATTTATTATAAATAAATAAATAAATTTCTTTAAAAAAATCACTGGCTGTTCACGCCGGACAGCCCCGACTGGAACGAGGCGGCAGCCAAGACCGTAGCCCTCGTTCTAGAACAAGAAGACGGTCATGGCCATCTTCCTTCGTCGGCCATGGCCGTCTTCCTTAGACGACCGTGGCCGTGCTGTCGGACAACCACTGCTGTCCGTGAAGAGGACAACTACCGGTGCGGACAGTCGGTGACTGTTTTTCTTAATTAATTAATTAGTTTATAATAAATAATATTCTTAATTTAAATTTTTAATAAATAAAAAATATTTGTTTGTTTTAAAAAATAAAATAAAAATGACAAGTGTCAACATCGCATAGATTTAACCGGATAAACAAGTCAATTTGAACTTTTTTTTTTTTTTGAATGCAAGTCAATTTGAACTTAATTGAACAATTTTACCAGTTTATGAAACTTTAATAGAGTTTTTTAATTTATTTATGGAATCCAATTGCACTATCCATTCGACTTAGGGAATCAATTTGACATTTTTCACTTTTTTGAAAACAATATGGGGAGAATTTCCAAAAAAGAAAAATATATGGGGAGAAGAGTGAGTGGCATTGATGTAAATATGGGAGAAAGCAAGACCCATTAATGGGAAGATTGGAAACCCTTGGGCCGAGATAAGTAGGCACAGTAAAGGAGGTGAGGCAAATATGGAGAAATAGGGTTTCTATACGGTGACCTGATTGAATGACGTCACTTCCAGCTTTTACACAGTTAGCGATGATTGTTCCCTTTGCATTGTCTCCCACAACTAAACTTTGTCCCTCGCTTTTTCCACTCGACGATAAACGCCGCTAGATCGACGCCCTCCGCCACCTGTTTGGGTTTCGCCGAAGGAATACGGCGGCGGAGGTGTTAGGGCAGAGAAGGCCAGCAAATGGCGGCAGACCGACAATAATTTTAACCTGGTCGAAAATTTGATTTAGACAAATACGGTGATTTGGTTTATGAATTTGATCGATTTGTGATATTAGGGTTTCATTACAAATTCAGAATTAATCTTAACTCATTTCAAAAAAAAGAAATAGAGGTTTTTTTGAATGGCTACTAGCCAATATAGTATCTGTTTATATTCTTTTTCAACCTACTGAAACACAAGGAGCTAATAACGCTTCTACTAAGGTTCAAACTCACAACTTTCTAAATGAAAGTCCAACCCGGATACCATTAGATCACATAGTCCTGGTGAATAGAGGTTAAATATATACGATAAATAATTAATATCTCCATTTTATGAAAAAACAAAAAACAACCTCAATATCCAGTATTGAATTAAAAGCCATAGGAAATATTATTTAATTTAAAATAAGTTTGATATAAAATTATCTTACGTAAATCGTTTAATATTTTTTAATTAAAATATAAATATTATTTATATAAAAAATGTTACATTTTTTCAAAAAAGTATGATATTTTTTACAAGTTCATAACAAA